AGAAGGAAGGTATGGAGGGAGGAGTGGATGGATGGATGGATGGATGGATGGATGGATGGATGGATGGATGGATGGATGAGTTAATCAATGGATGGACAGGTGGGTGGGTGGGTGGATGGATGGATGAATGGGATCAATTCCAAGCACCTTGCATTTCTCTTGCTTTGTCCATAGGTCTCTTCATCCTAATGGGTATGTCTGTATTCACAGCTGTTTACAGGAACTCCCATTCCTACACCAATTATTTGCTCTACTTTGGTTCTTCCTATGGCTTGGGTTGGGCCTCTCTTCCTATGTATGCCATGACTGGTAAGTTGTGCTTTCTGCAGATAGCCCAGAACATCAAGGAGGGCGATTTCTCTGCCAGAGAACTCTTGACAAATGGAGCCTGAGAACTTCCTCCAGAATTATCCACTTATATGTGTTATCTAGCAACCCATTTCATTGCAATTGCTACATAGCTGAAGGCAAGAACAACTCTGCATATGGGCAGATGACATTTCCTTCTTCACTGATTAACCATAGAGATTTAAATCCAGACTAATTTAATTCTTTTGTGTTAGACAATCCAGTGTGAGAATGATTCTCTTCTCTGTTGGGTGACTCTTTTTTTGGTTACTCACAGCCAGATTTTGCATTTTTTCAAAGTAAGTTGTGAATTTGCAAATCCTAGAAGAGACGGCCTTGTTGCATAGCCTAGTAAAAGCAGTAGAACTGGGTGAATTCTTTGTGTCTCTGTTATCCTTTTTTTTTGCTGGTGCTTAGCTCCATGAAGGGAGAAGATGCTGGTTTTGCTCAGAAACGCTGACGTGCAAGCTTCAGAAATAATGAAGAAAAAAGGTCCTTGATTTTTTTTTTGTCTTACAATGGAATTGAGATACCACATGGAGGTTGGAATATCATTGTGTTCAGATGGTCTGTCTCTACTGAATCATAATAATGGCAATGTTCCCACACATCCAATTTAACCAGAGGAATCTCCTGAAAATAAGAGACTAGGAGAGCTGGCATATATTTTCTTGGCATTAGATTATAAATATTATGTGTCTGGCTTTGGGCAGGCTGAATTTTATCTCTGTAACCCTACAGTATCTTTCCCCTCCTTTCTCCTAGGGATACTGCTAATGCTGACTCAAAAAACCATGGTCTCTGAACTCTGGGTACCCCCTCTTCCATAACAGCTTGAAGAACTCCCAGGGGTTGACTAACTGACTTCATGTCGTGGAAGACCAGCAATGGACCTTATAACTGGGCAAAGCATAGCTTTATCAGGATGGTGGCAGCCGACAGGATACGGCATGCCTGTATCAGTTCAGATAAAATGACCAGACGGACAGGCATCAGGGTTACTCCGATACTCTCCGCGTGTTTGCCATTTGGAACGGACCAGCATCATTTACCATGGTGTGCCAAATTAGGCAAGTTATGGTTTGACAACATGCAAGTTGTGTCTAGACCAGAGCTGGAAACCAGAACTCATTTGGAGGTAAACCACTTTGTACAAGGAATGATTTCCCTGCTTTCGCTCTCCTCAGACAAACTATAGTTTTCTTGAACCAGGAAGTTAGATCAAAATGGGAAGGAAACATATGACCTTGGTTTTGTTTGCGATGCTCACTCATCTATTGGTGATTGGAAAGCAGCAGTAATTCACACAACCAGCTGTTGTTCTGCCCTTGGGCCCATCAAAATTGCTCACTGGTCTTCGTTTATACAGCAGATGAATTGAATAATGCATTAGTCAAAGGAGCAGTGGTCATGTGTACAACTAACAACACACAGAAGACATGAGGAATGTTAAGCCTGGTGGTCCTTGTTCTTGTATCAGGAGGGATGTGGGTGTGTTGAAAATGCATGTGTTTGGTTATCAGTGAATGCATGTGTTTGGTTATCAGTTTATATCTGAATCTCCGGCTGAGTGATCATACAGCGTATGTACACATCTAATCTTGTTTGATAGCTAACACAAGCACCACTAACCAGTCCTTCCATAGCTGAACATCCCACCTCTCTAATTACTCACCCAGCCACCCTCACTAATGTTGTAGCCTCGAGATCTTTTAAGACTTTAACCAGTTTTCATGAGATTAAAGAGGCTATTTTCACTCCTGCTGTGTGATTATTTTCTCCAAAAGTAGGAGTAACAAAATGAATAAGAGAGCTGAAAATAGTTTCAGCAAACTTGAGTTTAAGTCCTGCTCAACTAGGGATCTAGGGACAGTCCTTCTCTCTCAGCTGTTTCATTGTGTAGGTGTAGAAGTAAGTTTCTCCCCACTTCTAATTGTGACAGAGCAGATTTCGCGCTAAGGTGTGCTGGTCCTCTCCACTAATGGTTCTTGATTCTTTGCTCCACCCTGTGGTTGGCTGAATTACTCCAGATTCTGTTCATTTCCACACACATCATACATGAGACCAGTGTGGTCATGGTTTCTTTTATCGCCCCAGCCAAGATGTGCAGGCAGAATTTCAAGTGGAACTCCTGCCCTTCTTAGTCATTCATTCAATAAAAGATCAAAAGCAAATATGGATTCCTGCCAAGGCTACTCTATCTGCTTTCCACATTGGCTTTTTAGGGCGGTCTTTCTCCAGACAGTGCTGCTGGGCATAAAGCGATCGTGGTGCAGGTCAGCCTGAATGTGGAAGAATAGACCCCTGTTGAAACGGTCTCCAGTTCCACCCCTCCATAGAGAATAAAAATATGCAAGCAGTTGTGTTGATTTATTGACCATGTATTGTTGATTTCTATGAACAAATTTGTTCACCAGGATAAGAACTTTTGTAAAGCTAAATGACTCTATACTTGGCCATTCAAGACCAAATAGTTTGTATTATATTTACAGCTATGAGTGGAATCCTGTTTGTCTTCAGCTAAAATTAAATTACATTTACATAAGTTTTCTCTGTGCTGTTGCCAGGCAAGAAGAATTGTGCAGTTAGTTGCTCCATTCAAGATCCAATAGTTTGTATTATATTTGCAAGTATGGGTGGAATCCTGTTTATTTATTTTATTTATTTATTTATATCCCACCTATCTGGTCTTGAGACCACTCTAGGCGGCTTACAAACACATAGAACAACAAGTAAATATAACAAAACAGAAATTATTACATGAAATAGCCAGTTCTTCAAGATGGAAAAGAGAAAATAAAAAAATAAACCAAAAAAGAAAAGAGAGGAGGAAAGAATCAAATATTAACTGGAGGGAAGGCTTGCCTGAACATCCATGTTTTTAATTGGTTTTTAAAAATATCCAGCGAAGGGGCTGCACGAATCTCCGGAGGCAGATTGTTCCAGAGGCGAATTTTAGCTGTTTGTCTTCAGCTAAAATTAAGTTACATCTGCATAAGTTTTCTCTGTGCTGTTCCCAGGCAAGAAGAATTGTGCAGTTAGTTGCATGTTCTGAACAACAAGTAAATATAACAAAACAGAAATTATTACATGAAATAGCCAGTTCTTCAAGATGGAAAAGAGAAAATAAAAAAATAAACCAAAAAAGAAAAGAGAGGAGGAAAGAATCAAATATTAACTGGAGGGAAGGCTTGCCTGAACATCCATGTTTTTAATTGGTTTTTAAAAATATCCAGCGAAGGGGCTGCACGAATCTCCGGAGGCAGATTGTTCCAGAGGCGAATTTTAGCTGTTTGTCTTCAGCTAAAATTAAGTTACATCTGCATAAGTTTTCTCTGTGCTGTTCCCAGGCAAGAAGAATTGTGCAGTTAGTTGCATGTTCTTTTGTCATGAGTATTGCACAAATGTGCCTGTACAAGTGGTTTCAACTTAACGGTAATACTATGAATGAGCACTCTGCAGAATGCCCTGTCCTCAGTTGACCTGCTCATCTCTTGTAAACTCAAACCTGTGCTTTCTTTTAAGGCGTTGTTCCCTCTCATATTTGGTCTTCATCTTCTCCTGCTGCCTTCCACGTTTCCCAGCATGACTGTTTTTTCCCCCAGAGAATCTTGCCTTCTCACAGCATGATTGTTTTGTTTTCCAGAGAATCTTGCCTTCTCATGATGTGCCCAAAGTAGGAAAATTTCAGCCAAAATGCTACTGCTGGGAAAATCAGTCCTCCTCGTGACAGCTCTGAGAATTCCAAAATGGAGGCAAAATGGAAGCCATCTCAGTACCAAGGTGTCGCAAAGCCAGTTATTTTTTTTTTTACTGACAAAGTCTCTCTCTTGTTTTGTTTTCCAGAGAATCTTGCCTTCTCATGATGTGCCCAAAGTAGGAAAATTTCAGCCAAAATGCTACTGCTGGGAAAATCAGTCCTCCTCGTGACAGCTCTGAGAATTCCAAAATGGAGGCAAAATGGAAGCCATCTCAGTACCAAGGTGTCGCAAAGCCAGTTATTTTTTTTTTTACTGACAAAGTCTCTCTCTGTCCCTGTGTCCATTTTGGAGTTGTCCAATCATGAGATTTACCATCAGCCTCTTTAAGGGTACAGTGGTGCCTCGCAAGACGATATTAATTCGTTCTGCAAAAAAGTCATCTTGTGAAAACATTGTCTTGGGAAATGCGGTTCCCCATTGGAATGCATTGAAATCTAATTAATGCATTCCAATTGGGAAAAAATGGTTTTGCGAAAATCGTCCATAGAAAACATCATCTTGCGAAGCACCACAGTGATTGCAAAAACCAATCGTTTTGTGGATTAGTCGTCCTGCAAGGCAATCGTCTTGCGAGGCACCACTGTAATTTCAAAATTCTTTATAAATGATGAAGCTAGCAGTTTCTCAGGTTTTCTCCATTAGTAAAGGCACAGGTATTTTCCTTCTTCTTCTTTGCCCTCCTCTGTGGCTCTTCTCTAAGAAGCAGCTATAGCAGTATGTAGATGGACCTCCACACCTCCACACACCACAATGCCCTGAATCCAAGAGAAGCAGCTATAGCAGTACTGTATGTAGATGGACCTCCACGCCTCCACACACCACAATGCCCTGAATCCAACATGACTTCTGGCGCCTTGTGAGATGAGGAAGCTCATGACTCAGGTTTTGCAAGACCTGAACAGAGTGGCTAGTGATAGGACCTTTTGGAGATATCATCACCACCACCATCATAATCATCATCTTAGAATTGTGAAGCTGGGAGGGACCTTATGGATCCTCGAGTCCAGCGCCTGCAAGGGAAACACAGTGGGAATCAAACTCTCAACCTCGGGTTTCACTGAACTGCCCAGCAGTTCCTTAATTCAAGGCTCACCATTAAGTCCACAACAACCCCACAACACATAACAACAACAAAGGATTCTTGCTCGCATGCATAGCATAGTCACTCTGCACTTAAGTTTGTGGAGTATATCTAGGCAGGAATTAACTTAGAGGGGCTGATAAATTCAAATGGAACCAGTAAATTACAAATTTCCAGCTTCAAGCAGTAGAGGCTAAGTTTGCGGTTAGTTTCAGACCAGCTCTGCCCTCTCTTTACTCTTTTTGAAATAGTGATTCCTATCTGGTATCAGAAGGAAATTTGAAACAGGGTTGGTAAATGTTGCTCAATTTCTAGGCAGCTTGTGTGAGTGTTTCTGGTTCTCCTGCGGTTACATTTCCTGCCGTTTATGTATTTGCCTTTTAATCAATGTCACGACTACATGAGTACAAAGGGGTAACATTTTAAGATTTTTTCATTATGGGCAGAACTAGCTATGCAGGTTGTGCTGCCATAGATTCTCTTGGGGTGTGGTCAGGCAACTGGAAAGGTGCACATCCAATGACACTGGTAAGGGCTGATTTTCAGGGACTGAATCCCATTAAAAGTGGTCCTTCTGGGGGCTGCTGGGGGCTCACTCTAGCCTGTCCCCCAAAAGCAATAGCCCTTCAGCTGGACCAAACAGGCCCACCTTAGAGATGGATTGGAATATAGGTGGAGTACAATTCAATGTATGTCAGATATAAATCAATGCTCTAAGCAACAATCAATACAATTTTGGAAAGGACGTTTGTAATAAAAGCATTGCTCCAAAGGGTCCCGTGGGTATGGGGATGCACTGTGGTTTAGATTGTATTAGTAAGTATTTTGTATTTTTTAATATATTTTTTGAAATTTTAAATAAATAAAAAAGGATGGGAAAAGAATAGAAAGGAACATGTGTACATGTTAAAATAGCAAGGAATAAATCAGTACATCATGGGTACAGTTCTAAATTTTCCTCCTGGCAAGGGAGAAAACAAACCAGAAATAAATCGCTTGCTGGGAAAATGAATCGCTGTTGGTTGTGTGTCGTGAGCTGGAAAAGTATAAAACAATCTAAAAAAACCAGTCAGGTGTGATTGAAACCTTTAGTGCTTTCTAGGCGGATTATAAGTGTGCTGTATAATGGTGTACATGCAGTCTATGCTGCATAATACATATACATATACACATATGTATATATATTTTATGTATATCTGTATATTATTATATGTATATGTATACATATAGCAGCATAGACACCATTATACATGGTGTTTATGTATAATATACATATACATACAGTATATGTATATATATTATATGCATATATATGTATATTATTATATGTATATGTATACATATAGCAGCATAGACACCATTTTACATGGTGTCTACGTATAATATACATATACATGGACCAGGATTAAAACGAATGGGGAACAAAGCTTGGTGAGGAGAGGTAGAATTCACATATATTTTAAAAATACCTTAAGTGATTCTTCAAGAAGGTTGTTAAATGCTGTGCAAAGATCACAAATGTGCCATTATCTGGATGGAGACCACCGTGAAGGCTCATTGCAGTGTTACTTTACCTGAAGAACGAAGGAAGAGTTATTTCTGATAGCCTTGATGATGGTAACATTTCCAGAAGAAATACACTTTGCACCTTTTTGAAGACTTGTAGGTCATTTCAGATAAATAAATGTTGGGAGAAGCAAAGCCACAGGTGACCAACTGGGAAAAAAAGATAGGCACCAGCACTCCTCCCTTGATGGTGTGTGCTTGGGGAAGAATTGTGTAATTTAGCTAACATGTGTAAATCAATGCCCATATGGGGAAGAACAAGATGTGGAGGAAATTGTGGAAAGGGGGG